AGAGTGTTAATCCCAGCTTTTTTTTTCTTTTTTGTCCTCCTCTGAGCACAGCCCAGGTGGAATTGGATGTGCTGAAGGTGTCCTGGTGTCAGCACTGGACACATCCTTCAAGTGACAAGTGCCATCACCAGCACTCTTCACACCCCCACACTTTGAGGAGTCATTTCAGAACAGAATCTCAAACCTCACTGCATCAAAACCCTCAAGAGTGTCTGGGCATGGCCTGTCTCCTTTCCCCAAATTTGCTGGCTCACTAACCCCGGGCAGAGTTATTTTGTCTGGCGGAGTTCCTCAGCCAGATTACGTGAACCAGAAAAGTTTTGAGAACATGGTTTCAGGATTAACATGTGACTAAAGTGAAGTTTCACAACTGAACTGGTGACTTGTGGATTGAAGTAACTGAGAGACACCAAAATAGGGTCCTTATCTGTTTGACTTAAATTGGAATTTGATGAATTTGGTTTGAGCAGAGCTTTAGTGGCAGTGGTGGAATTTTCCTCTCAATGTGCTCAGTGTCTGCCACGCTGGGGGCTGCAATTTGCTCCCCAGGTAAATCCACCATCACTCCCCTGGACTTCCAACCATGAATTCACGGGTACCTGAGCGTGGAGGAGGGAATCCTGCAGGGGAGCTCCAGGCACTGAAGGCACAGCGCTCTCCTGCTTCTCCTCAGGGTGATGCAAAGCAACATAAACCTGTTCTACCTAAATAAAACCCAGTGCACTGTCTGTCCCACAGCTGGCTTTGGAGATAATGGATTTTTAATGGCTGATTTGCATACCCAGCTCAGCATTAATTACTGTGACAGCAGTGCTGACCCTTTTAATTCGTGTGGTTTTGGTTTCTGCTGTAAATTACTGGAACATGCAGGAACTTCTTCTTTCCATTATGTGCTTTACCTTACCAGAACTTGGTCAAACACATCAGGAAAAGAAGAAGAAGAATTCAGGGGTGTCTAAAACTTCAGAACTGTTGCCCAGAAGTGCATTTAGGCTGAAGTGTCTGTCCTGTCTCATCACCACCCCTTTCTGTCTCTGTGGCAGGTTTATGCCTCCGTCCCCAGAGCTTTCCCTCGCCGCTTTGTTCTCCCTCTGGACGTGGATTCAGACACACCCGTGGGGAAAAACCTGAACCCACTGCCTTACACCCAGGCAAAGGCTGTGAAAGGCGCAGATGGCAAGGTTTGTGTCAAACCATAAATGCATTTATGCAGCAGCTCCTGCCCTGTGCCTCAGAGCTTCAACCACCTGTGGTTTTGTGGTGGTTGGTGGCACCAGCCAGCTCTCCTGCCCTGCCCGAGCTGAACCAACCCCACTGTCACTTCTGCACGTTTCTCCCAGGTCTGGTGCACACACGAAAATCTCCACCCTGAGGGCTTTGAGAAAGTTGGGGGCCTGGAGTTCCCCCAGATCAATTACACCCGGTGCAATGGCAGGAGGTACCGCTACTTCTACGGCTGCGGCTTCGGGCACCTGCTGGGAGATTCCCTGATCAAGGTGGATGTGGACACCAAGAACTTCAAGGTGAGGTGAAATCAGCTCAGCGAGTCCTTCCCCTGAACTGGATTTGAAGGTGTGATGTTTAATGGGGGTTTTAGGGCTTTGCCCACATGGGGCTGGGATGAGATTCCGAATTTCATCCTCACCTTGGGAACGTGGCACAGTCACCAAACAGGAGAGGATGGCACCAGCACACTCCTGGAATGAAAAATGTTAATGAAAAGTTAATAAAAAGTTAATAAAGAGTTAATAAAAAGTTAATAAAAAGTTAATAAAAAGAAATTTCATCCTCACCTTATGGACATGGAAGTCACCAAACAGGAGAGGATGGCACCAGCACACTCCTGGAATGAAAAATGTTAATGAAAAGTTAATAAAAAGTTAATAAAGAGTTAATAAAAAGTTAATAAAAAGTTAATAAAAAGTTAACAAAAAGTTAAACTCTTAAGTTCCTTGGAGCCCAGAGTATTTCCAGGTGCCTTTGTGGGGAGCACTTGTAACTCTGCTCAGTGTAGTAGACAAGTATTAATGCAATGAAACTCATCCATGTGTCCCTGAAGCTCATCCATATGTTCCTGTGCTTGCTAGATTTGGCAGGAGGAGGGATCCTACCCATCAGAGCCCGTGTTTGTGCCAGTGCCTAACGCCACGGCAGAGGACAGCGGAGTCATCTTGTCTGTGGTGGTCTCCCCTGCTGAGGTAACTTGCTGGCAGTAGTTTGTCAAAGTCACACGGCATTAATTCACTTTTTACACCTCAAGGCCCAGCTGGCAGGTAGTTCTTGCTCCCCAGAGTGTCTGGCTCTGCCGTGCCAAGCACAGGCAGTGCAGGCTGGAGTTTCCCCAGCATGTTGGTGTGTCCTGAGTGGGAGCTGAGGCTCAGAGCTCCTGCCCTGCAGCTTTGGTCTCTGTGGTTTGCTTTGTGCCTTTGTGTGCAGACAGTGGAGAGAAGTTCAGCCTGGACACTCACTCTGCCTTTCTGCTCCTCCTGCAGAACCGAAGTGCTTTCCTGCTGGTGCTGGATGCAGAGACCTTCCAGGAGCTGGGGCGAGCAGAGGTCGGGGTGCCAATGCCTTACGGGTTCCACGGCATCTTCACTGCCCACTGAGGAGCTCTGGGCACCTCCTGGGACTCAGGGCCGAGCCAGCCTCAGAAAGAACCTCTGCTGCCTTCACCTCCCACCTTTCCATCACGTCTGGGATGAAGGAGCTGCTTTTTCTCCACCACGACCTCCTGTGTTCCTAACAAAATGCAGCCAAGGAAGGCAGAGGCCCCTTTGCTCCCACAGCCCACTGCTTTATCTACATTTTTTTTACTATCTTGCTAGACCAGCTGTAGCAGCAGTTCACAAAGGATGCCCAGGGAGAGGCTTGCAAGGCAGAAAATGGAAACTGAGGTGATCAACCCCTTCCTTTGGTGCTCTGAGGGGAGGAGAACATCAACACCAGGGCTGTGACTTTGGCTGGAATATGTAGAGCAGAAGAGAGGAGTAAAACCCACAGGAGGGCCCAGTGAAGGGGGGTAAATCCCCCCTTGCACCAAGGTTGCCTCCAGTGGGCTCCAGGGGGTAGGTGCAGACACTCACAGCAGCTGTGCTTGTGCTTTTTTCTGTTCCATAGCAGTGCCCTCTAATAACACCTTGGGGAGTTGTTCCTTTCTCTCCCTGCCCTCAGAGTCTTGTGGGGGACACATCTCCAGAGCAGGACACAGCTCTGCTGGCTGACAGTGCCTGCCTGCCTCCCAGTTCAACCAGCAGCAAACACCAGTAGGAAACTCGGAGAGCTCCACTGTGGCCTTGGTGTCCCGGGGTTGAGCAGAGCAGGACAAACTCCAGCCCCCTCCACCCAGGCTTCTCCAGCTGCTGGACTCTGGCCTGTAGGTGGGTGGGTGTACAGTGAGGACTTCTAGTTGTATTTCTTCATCGTGAGAAGCCTGAAGAATTATTTGAATCGTTTCCTTGATAATAAAGGAGCCCTTTTGCCCTCGGGGCTTTCCCTCCTCTGAGCTTCCTTCGCCTTCTTTACAGGACTTGGGAAAAGAAAAAGGATTTTACCTCAGGGCTGCTGCTCTGGGAGGGCAGAGGAGGCTCAGCCAGAGCTGGTGGAAGCCACTAGATGGCAAACAGCTCCCGTGCCTGCCGCTCAGCCCTGCCCTGCAGCCTGTGGTCACTGTCACCTGCTGTCCCCTCCTGCTCCTGGAGCCCGTCCCCGCGGGGAGCAGCACGGGCAGCAGAACGATGCTGAGGTGTTTCACGGAGTTCAGGCACCACCGGTTCTCTTTTTAATTTTATTTTTTTCTTGTTGAGGTGAGAAAGGGGTCAGAGGCTCAGGTGGCACCTTGTGTGGGTTAGAGCCAGGCCTCGCTGTGTGCCCAGAGCTGCCGTGTTTAAAACTCCGTTTAAAGCCCTGTTTAAAGCTCTGTTTAAAGCTCCGTTTAAAGCCCTGTTTAAAGCCCTGTTTAAAACTCTGATTAAAGCCCTGTTTAAAGCTCTGTTTAAAGCTCTGTTTAAAGCCCTGTTTAAAGCTCTGCTCCCCCCGTGCACACAGGCTGTGCTCCCCAACCCGAGCAGCCCCTGCGGATCCTGCTCCTCTCGCCCACACCCTGCCCCCAGGCTCGCTCTTTTCCCACCCCGACAAACGGCTTCACCCCGTTATCGCCGGGAATTCCCGGGAGTGAAGGGAATGTGCGCTCAGAGCCTCGCAGCACTGAGAAAACCAGCTTCTCCCCGTCCTCCCAAAGCTTTCTGAAAATCGCCGCACTTCAAGGGTTCCTCTGCTTGAGCTCCATGGGTGTTATTGCCGGGGTGCGCTCCTTCAGGTATGTCCATAACCATCCCGGGGTCGAACACGGGGGGATTGGAGCATCCTGGAGCTGAACACGGGGGGATTGGAGCATCCCCGGGGGGATTGGAGCATCCCGGGACTGAACACGAGGAGGAACTGGAGCATCCCCGGGTCCGACACCGGCACGGCGGCACCGGAGCATCCCCGGAGCCGAACACGGCGGCACCGGAGCATCCCCGCGTCTCGGCGGGCGGATCCCGCGGGCTGGAGCCGCCCCGGGGCCGGGATGAGGCCAGGCTGGAGCCGCCCCCGGGGCCGGGCTGGAGCCGCCCCGCTCCGGCCCCGCTCCGGCCCCGCTCCGGCCCCGCGATGTCGCCGCGCTCCGCCCGCCTGGCGCGGCTGTCGCGCTCCGTCACCTTCAGCGCCTGCCACCGCCTGCACAGGTGAGCGCCCCGAACGGGTGAGCCCCGAAATGTGAGCCCCGAAAAGGTGAGCGGAGGGATTGGAGCATCCTGGAGCTGAACACGGGGGGATTGGAGCATCCCCGGGGGGATTGGAGCATCCCGGGACTGAACACGAGGAGGAACTGGAGCATCCCCGGGTCCGACACCGGCACGGCGGCACCGGAGCATCCCCGGAGCCGAACACGGCGGCACCGGAGCATCCCCGCGTCTCGGCGGGCGGATCCCGCGGGCTGGAGCCGCCCCGGGGCCGGGATGAGGCCAGGCTGGAGCCGCCCCCGGGGCCGGGCTGGAGCCGCCCCGCTCCGGCCCCGCTCCGGCCCCGCTCCGGCCCCGCGATGTCGCCGCGCTCCGCCCGCCTGGCGCGGCTGTCGCGCTCCGTCACCTTCAGCGCCTGCCACCGCCTGCACAGGTGAGCGCCCCGAACGGGTGAGCCCCGAAATGTGAGCCCCGAAAAGGTGAACCCCGAACGGGTGAGCCCCAAACAGGGGAATGGCCCAGCACAGGGGGGGATTGGAGCACAGGACCCCGCACGGGTGAGCCCCGCATGGGTGAACCCCGCACAGATGAACCCCGAACAGGTGAGCCCCGAAAAGGTGAACCCCGAAAAGGTGGGGGATTGGAGCACAGGGCCCCGCACAGGTGAGCCCCGAACAGGTGAGCCCGAACAGGGGAACCCCGAAAAGGTGAGCCCCGAATAGATGAACCCCGCACAGGTGAGCAGTCCCGCACAGGGAACCCCGCACGGGTGAACCCCGAACAGGTAAACTCTGAATAGGTGAACCCCGAAAAGGTGAGCCCCCAACAGATGAACCCCAAACGAGTGAGTCCCGAACACGTAAACCCCGCACAGGTGAGCCCCGCACAGGTGAGCCCCGCACACGGAGCGGCCCCGCTCACCCGGGGCAGGCTCCGAGCCCGCTCTCTTCCCGGTCCTGGCCCGGGCCAGCCCCTTCCCGTCTCCATCCAGTGCCCGCCTGCAGTTCCGCGCTGTCGCAGAGCCGGCGGCGCTTTCGCTTTCTGAGCATCGCCCCGCGCCCCCCGATCCGCTGGTTTTCCCCCCAAAACTGAGCTGTGCCTTAACGTGAAACTGCCCCAAAAGAGGTTTTGGGCTCGGCCTCTTCTCCCGGGCTAGGAGAGATAAGACAAGGGGAAACAAGCACGAGCTGTGGCAGAGGAGGTTTAGGCAGATCGGGAGGGATTTCTCCATGGAAACCGGGGTGAGGCCTTGGAAGGGGCTGCCCGGGGAGCCCCCATCCCTGGAGGTGCCCAGGGAACTGCTGGATGTGGCACTCCGTGCTCCGGGTCTGCTTGGACTCCGTGATCTCACAGTTCTGTCCTAGCCTCAGTGATCCTGGGGTTCTGTGAAGCTCCCAAAATGTGCCTTGACCTGAAACACTCAGAGCAGGGCCCTGGATGGCTTCAAAGGGAAAATGCAGAGGGAAAACCTTTGTACTTCTTGGAGAGGCTCCCTAAGCTCTGTTAATCAGCAATAAACCCAAATGTGCAGCTCGCTCCAGGCCTGGGTCACTTTGGGCCCAGATGTTGAACATTTATCCAGCAGTGGTGTCAGGCAGATGCTGTGAAGCAGACACAAAACCACAGCAAGGGAAGATTCACTGCTGCCAGCAGCATCTTTTCATGGAGCAGACACTCTGGCTGGGTTTGTGCCTCCTGGGCTGGTTCAATGTGGGAGAGGGAAGAGATGGAGAGCTGGAAAGCAGAGCTGAGTAAATCCACGAAGATCTGGAACAAATCCATGCCTGCCTTTCCCACAGTAAATCCCTGAGTGATGAGGAGAACCTGAAGCTGTTTGGGAAGTGCAACAACCCAAATGGCCACGGCCACAACTACAAAGGTAGGAAGATGATTTCCATCCTTGCTCACGGAGTCTGCTGCTCTCAGGGTGGGGGTAACCCCCACGAGGGCTGGGCCACTCATTCTCAGCAGCCTGATACAGCTTTTAGTGGCTGGGTTTGTGTTTTTATTAAGAATTAGGAGGAAATTTCAGCAGCAGGGGGTTGAGCCATAGCATGGATTTGCCATTTTTCAGCTGAATAGATAATAAATATTTATCTTCAAATGCCACTTCTTGAATCAGATCTGCTTGTTTACACTCTGCAGAGTCATTGTGATTGGAATGGAGATTTTTCTAAGCAAAAGGCATGCAAATTAAACAGCCTGTAAACATGATTTGAATGTGTTTTTTCACGAGTTCTCCCATTTGTACACCCCGAGCACACAGAATTGGATCTCTCCAGTTCCTGGAGTGGCTCCGTGTGTTGTTGGCACCCTGAAACCTCAGCTAAGGAGCTGCTTCATCAGGGAAGACAGGCTTATCTCCACCTGCCTGGGCCATCAGACCTTGGGGAGGGATTTTTGTGCCTCTGGGTCACTGTTTTTATGGATCATCCCCTCATTTTATAAAAGCAGCCCCACTCCTGGGTGCACCCTGTGGGTGGGCAGGGAAGGGGTTGTGTGTCCCAGCAGCAGCTGGTCTGTTTTGGGTTCATGGGCATCACAGTGACCTGATCTTTTCTTTTTTTTTCAGTTGTGGTCACCGTGCGTGGAGAGGTGAGTGCAGCCAGCATCGTTTTGTGTCCCTCAGCGGGGCACAGTCCCCACAGTTCTGGCCCCATGCCTGGATTTCCCAGAGTATTTTGGGAACTCTGTGCACATCACTAGAGAGGTTTTCCATGGGCATTGTCCTGTTCACAGCAAGGATTTGCAGTTTAATGCTGTTTTCATGCTCGAAGACTCTTCCAGTGAGCTGTTTCTGCCTGGTGTCAGCTTTTAGGAGAGAGTGGGACCTCTGGAATTGTTCCCAGGCTGTACCAAGCCCTTGGGAACACCACAGGAGTGGAGCTGCAGCCCTGTGACAGTGGGAAGCTCATTTCCTTGTGGCTCAGATGAGCTGAGCACAGACACTCCTGCCTGATTTGTGTTGCCAGGCCACCAATGCCCCTTGTGCTTCCCTGCAGATCGACCCAGTCTCGGGGATGGTGATGAACCTGACAGACCTGAAGGAATACATGCAGGTAAAACCAGCCCAGTTTTCCTCCTAATCCCCTGGGAGAAATGATTGGAGCTTGTCTGGTACCAGCACGGAGACGTGGTGAGCTGCTGATGGCAGGGCATCAAAAAGAAATTAGGGAATAATTGAAGACTTAAACGCCTTAGCTCTGTTATGTGAGGCAGTGCCACGTCTCCAGCTGGGGGTCTCACAGCTGGATTTGGGGCTCTTTTCCTCTTTCCCCGTCCTGCTGCCTGGCTCTGTGTGGTTACCTGAGGCTCAGGCCAGGCAGGGACAGGGATGTCACCGTCCTCTGTCTGCAGGAAGCGATCATGGAGCCGCTGGACCACAAAAACCTGGACAAGGATGTGCCCTACTTCTCCGAGGTGGTGAGGTGGGTTGGGGGGGCTCCTGAGAAGCAGCAGCCTGTACCTGAGTGCTGAGCACCCCTGTGCCCAGCCCTGCTGCCCCTGGTCACATCGTGCCCATCCCACCCATGCCACCCCCACTGCTGGCAGTGCCACAGTCCCCAGCAGCCCAGGTGTCCTCAGCTGCCCCTCAGCGTCCCCCCAGCCCATCCTGGCTGCAGCTGCCTCAGCTGTTGGTGTCACTCTGCCCTTCCAGCTCTGACCCTGCTGCTGTTCCCCCCCAGCACCACGGAGAACGTGGCCGTGTTCATCTGGGACAGCCTGCAGAAGCTGCTGCCCCAGGGCCTCCTCTACAAGGTGGAGGTGCACGAGACAGAGCAGAACGTGGTGGTTTACAAGGGAGAGGAGACAATTGTCAAGTGAGGTCAGCCTGAGCTGGGCTGCTCAGGGGAAACGCTCCATGATCAGCTCCCTGCATCCCTGCTCAGGGAAACGCTCCATGATCAGCTCCCTGCATCCCTGCTCAGGGGAAATGCTCCGTGATCAGCTCCCTGCATCCCTGCTCAGGGAAACGCTCCATGATCAGCTCCCTGCATCCCTGCTCAGAGGAAATGCTCCATGATCAGCTCCCTGCATCCCTGCTCAGGGAAACGCTCCGTGATCAGCTCCCTGCATCCCTGCTCAGAGGAAATGCTCCATGATCAGCTCCCTGCATCCCTGCTCAGGGAAACGCTCCATGATCAGCTCCGTGATCAGCTCCCTGCATCCCTGCTCAGCATTCCCAGCATTTCCTGGGCTCTGTGTCACAGCAGAACCAGTGCAGCTGTTTCACAAGGACCGTCGCAGCAGTTTGCCCATCTGGCTTCTCAGAATGGGTTGGTTTCTCTGCTTTTCCTCAAGACCTTCCTGTTTTGCCAGCTGATGTGAAGTTTAGAGTTGTGGCGTGGTAAATAAAGCAGATTTGGCCTGGCAAAATCACGAAAGTATTTGATTTCTCTCTGATTAAATATTAATTTATGGTATTTTATAATGTGAGATTTGGTGTTGCTTTGCTTCTTGATCAAACAGAGAAGCATTTTGGAGAGTGAGAACCACATTACACTTTTTTTTTTTTTCTTCTTATCGGTTTATTTCCTGTGCTGCAGGCACGTTTCTTCCTGTGGCCAGCAGATCTTTCTCCGTGTGTGGAACTGGAGTAGTGGGCAGTAAAAAAAAGCATTTCTGATCCAAACTGGAGAGCCAAGGGGAGCAGGGTGTTGGTGAGAGTGGAAAACTGAGGAAACTGCAGTGGGAATGTCACAGTCCCAGTGGTGGCAGAGCCCTGAGGAGGAAGTGCAAGAATAAACCCTTAAATCCACCCAAAATTCAGTGGGGGCATGCTGGGAAAGCAGTGAGGGAATGGCTATGGCACAATTGCTGTGGTTCAGGGCCAGCAGTCCCAGTGTCTGCCCGGAGGCAGCAGTGGCAGGGCTCTGTGTGATTCCCTTGTCACATCACCAATGTCCTGAGGAGTAATTAGGAACGGCCATCAAGAATAACTTGGTGCATATAATTTAAAAAAACCCAAGCTGATAAGCAGGGCAGCAGTTCCCTTGCTTCACGAGGAAATGGGGTGTTTGAACAATGGGAGCAAACATCCCCTTTGGGAGGTTTAATGAAGCTTGCCTAATTGCCCACCTTGGCCACGCTCTGCTCCAGGCCCAGGTAAAGTGGGGTTTGCACTGCCTGAAAATACCTGGGCTGCTTTAGAACTGCTCTGGAATGTAAAAAAATGGGGACTGCTTCACCTGGGGACACCTCTGTGCCGGCCCCAGCTTCACTCAGCCTCCCTGGGAGAGCTTCAGAAAGGGAACTGGGAGAAAAATGAGGGATGTTCCCTTTGGCAGGGCAAAACCTCTGCCCTGGGAGCTCCAGCTTTGGGGGATTCTGCTCCTTTTTGGCTGCAGGTTCCTCGCAGTGTGAGCCAGGCAGAGAGCACTCAGTGCCCCGGATGAAACGAACACTCAGCTGGCACATTTGCCCCTTTTCCCTGCTTTTTTCTCTCCCCAAATGTGGAAGCTGTGGCGTTTGCTCGGCGTGGGGGAGTTTGCAGCTGCCCCGACCCCTGCTGCTGCTGTGTGGCTGAAATGTTGTGAATTCAGAGCTGCTGCTGCTGATTCACGGGCTGCACTGACTCACACACATCATGTGCTCCCTTTATCAGAGCACGAATCCGAGCAAACAAATGTTACATCTGCACAGCACAGCCCGCTGCTTTTATTGGCATGGAGGCAGAAAAAAAGCAGCCCAGGCTCCTGAGAATTTCTGCAGCCCTGGCAAAGCCCCACGGCAGCCTGAGTGTTTTATTTATTGCATTATTATTATATTTGTGTCAATTATTCTGATCTCTCGGATTTAAACGACTGCAGCTCTGGGGAAATGGAATAAATTGGGTGGCTGCGCAGTGCTTTGGGTGGAAGGGGCTGGAACCAGCAGGGCTGGAGTGGAAATTGGGATTTCAGTGGGTGCTGAACCTCGTCCTGCTCGGAGGGGTCTGCAGCTCTGCAGGGAATTCTCTGTTGGGAATTCTCTGTTTGGAATTCTCTGTTTTGGAATTCTCTGATGCCAAATTCCCAGCTGAGGGAGGCAGGGAGGGGTTTCAGGGGGGAATGAACTCCCAGAATTAAACATTAAGCTCTGCCCGGGTTGCTGAGTGGTGAAATGCTTTGAGGAGAAGGTTCAGGTGACAGTGGGGGCCAGGAGAGGTCACAGCTGACCCCAGCACGGGCTGCAGGGGCAGAACTTCCAGCCTTGGTGCCTGGAAATGAGAATGGCAGGGGAGAAATGACAGGAAATGTCATTAAAAGCGCCCAGTTGTGTTTGGTGGGACTGAAAAACCCAGCCCTGCCTCCTGCCACACGCTGAAATCAAATCAGGTTTTGTGGAAGGGCTGGACGGGGGGACAGGAGCATCCTGGGCACAAGAAATGATTGATTTGAACGTGCTGTTCTCAGGGGGCTGTGCAGGGGTTCCCACGGTATTTGTGTGTCTGTGATTTTCATAAAAACTGCTCCTTTTTAGTGCCAGGGCAGGGGCTGGCTGGAGTTTAATACCTGTGGCACCATCTGCTTCTGTCAACCAAAAGCAAAGGCTGAGGCTGCCCAGGAAATCTGTCCAACAGCAGCTTTCCTTTTTATTTCAATTTGATTTTTTTATTTTCATTTTCAGTTTAGGGAGGTTTTGTCCATTCTGCCCCACTGGAGGAGGAAAAATCTCATTTTTTTGCTGTGTTTGAAGCACAGTGGCCAAGGGGGGACGGAGGGTGCAGCTCTACTGATCCCACCTGGGGCATTAAGAGCCCAAAAGGAGCAGCAGAGAGAGGAACTCCACCAACTTCTGCTGCTCAGGCTCAGGAGCCGCTCCTGGGCTGGCTTTTTACAGCCCATTGTAGCCCAGACAATGAAGGAGTTAATAAATAATCCACACACTGAGCTCAGAGCCCCAGCTCCTCCCAATCCCACAGGGAAATTGGAATTTCCCTCCTTAAGGTGATTTTTTGGGAGATCAGGGGGCACAGGAACTGAACAAGGAGCAAAAACTGGGGAAGGTCGCTGAGAAAAGGAGCTCCAAAATCTCCAAAATCCCCAAAATTCCCCCAAAGTCCCTCATTTTCCAGAGCAGAGGCAGCCCAGGGAGCCTCTGACAGCTCCCACCCAGCAATTCCCACCGTGGGTAAAGCTCATTAGGGTGTTTGCTTGTGCCTGGCGCTAATTGGCGCCAATTAATTACCCTGTGCAGAGGGGAGGCCAAGTGGAAACAGAGCACGGAAGTCTGAAAAATGAGGAGAACAACTGGGGCTGGGGGTTCAGGGGCATTTCGTGGCTTTTCCCCGGAAATTGTTTGTACACTGGTGTGGAAAACTCAATTTTTGATGGTAAATTCACCCAGAAATTCCGTGAATGGGGCAAAGGATTAAACAAAAAATAAAAATCAATTTACCTAGGAATTCAATGAATGGGGGAAAGGATTTAATAAAAAAATAAAAATAAATGTACCTAGAAATTCAGTGAATAAGGCAAAGGATTAAAAAAAAAAAAAAAAAAAACAAAAAAAAAACCAAAAATAAATTTACCTAGAAATTCAATGAATGGGGGAAAGGATTACACAAAAAATTAAAATAAATGTACCCAGAAATTTAGTGACTGTGGGAAAGGATTAAACAAAAAATAAACATAGAAATAAATGTACCCAGAAATTCAGTGAATATGGCAAAGGATTAAATAAAAAAAAAAAAAAAAAAAAAAAAACCAAAAATAAATTTACCTAGAAATTCAATGAATGGGGGAAAGGATTACACAAAAAATTAAAATAAATGTACCCAGAAATTTAGTGACTGTGGGAAAGGATTAAACAAAAAATAAAAATCAATTTACCTAGAAATTCAATGAATGGGGGAAAGGATTACACAAAAAATTAAAATAAATGTACCCAGAAATTTAGTGACTGTGGGAAAGGATTAAACAAAAAATAAAAATAGAAATAAATGTACCCAGAAATTCAGTGAATATGGCAAAGGATTAAACAAAAAAAAAAAAAAAACCAAACCAAAAACAAAAATAAATTTACCTAGAAATTCAATGAATGGGGGAAAGGATTAAACAAAAAATAAAAATAGAAATAAATGTACCCAGAAATTCAGTGAATATGGCAAAGGATTAAACAAAAAAAAAAAAAAAACCAAACCAAAAACAAAAATAAATTTACCTAGAAATTCAATGAATGGGGGAAAGGATTAAACAAAAAATAAAAATAAATTCACCCAGAAATTCAGTGAATGTGGGAAAGGATTAAACAAAAATTTAAAATAAATGTACCTAGAAATTCAGTGAATGGGGCAAAGAATTAAACAAAAAATAAAAACAAATGTACCCAGAAATTCAGTGAATATGACAAAGATTAAGCAGCTCTGTCCCTGTAAATTTTCCCAGAAACCCCACCTTGCTCTGCAGCACTGGGCTTTTGGTGGGATGGAAACGGAGCAAATTTAACACATAAATGTTGTGTTGTCCCCAGAATTCCTCCTGAGACACCCACAGGAAAATGTTTCAGTGAGAAATCGTCTCCAATCCAAAAAGTTGGGGCTCTTCTGATTTTTTTTTTAATTTTTTTTTTTTTTTGAGGTGAGGTGGCGGAGCAATAAAAACTTGGGGATTACAGGAAGTCAGGGGAAGGGTGGGGAAGTTTTTAACGGGGCTTTATGCAGCTGTAATCGCTGTGTTCATCTTTAATCAATGTTTTAAGAGCTCAGCTCTGCCAGGAACAGCTTTCAGCTCAGGGTTTCATGGATGTGGCCTCAAAGCTCCTCCTCAGAGCCCCTTCTCTGCCTCTCTAGGCAGAGTTCTGCCTGCTTCTTTTTGTGAAATTTCAGGTTTTAGCAATTTTTTTTGTGAATTTATTTTACTTAGCACTTAAAAAAAATTCTCTATTTTTTAGGGAAAATACAGTGTAAAAGGAAATGTTCATTTTGCTGCTCAATAGAGTAAAATTAATGCAAATGCCACAGATGAGGCTCGTGGATGGGACAAAGCAGCAGGAGCCACATCGGGGTGAGCTGGGACATGAGAGGTGCCACGGGGACGTTTAAATGCAATTTCATATTTGTTATCCAAGGCTGTAATCTTGGGAGATAGATGGATCAACAAAGAGATTGGAGTTGAGCAGTAATTTCCAGCGCTAATTAGGATTTTATTGTGTGTTGTGCACTGATAAAGCGTGCTCCTATCTCTGCTAATTACCCTGCCTGCTAAGCAGAAGCCAACTTTAATGGCTGGCCACTAAAACCCAAATCATTTCTCTGAAATTCTGCGAGAACATTCCGTGAATGCAGCGCTGCAGGCTCACATTTCACCTGGGAAATTGTGCTGGGGAATTCTGGCCCCTCCACAGCCCAGCAGGAAACAGGGAAAGAAGTGGAAATTGGGATGAAAGAAGTGGAAATTGGGATGAAAGAAGTGGGATTTACACTGAGGGCATGCCAGGGAGAATTACCTGTATTTTTTGAGGCAAACCATGGCTTTTGTACAATTTGAACAAGCAAGAATTGAGTGAAAGCTCAACCTGAAAGCCAAACAAGCCTTAGCAGGTGTTTAATCCCAGCTGCCAACTTTTAGGGTTAATATTTCAGACAATTCTGATGGAATTTAAAAAAAAAAAATTCTCTCTTAGACCTGATATCTGAGATATAGAAATGGGCAGGGAAAATTTTCTTCAGAAATCCTGAGAAATAGAAATGGGCAGGGAAAATTTTCTTCTGAATTCCTGAGGAATGGAAATGGGCAGGGAAAATTTTTTCTGAATTCCTGAGAAATGGAAATGGGCAGGGAAAATTTTCTTCTGAAACCCTGAGAAATGGAAATGGGCAGGGAAAATTTTTTCTGAAACCCTGAGAAATGGAAATGGGCAGGGAAAATTTTCTGAAATCCTGAGAAATGGAAATGGGCAGGGAAAATTTTCTGAATTGCTGAGAAATGGAAATGGGCACGCACAATTTTTTTCTGAATTCCTGAGAAACAGAAATGGGCAGACACAATTTTTTTTTCTCGTGGTGCTCAGCTCCTGTGTTAGATTTTCAGGCTCCTTTATCCCCAGGCTCCTCAGTCCCTTCGGATTTGGATTTATTCAGCAGAAATGAGGGGGTTTGGCCAGCTCTGGGCTGGGCAGGGCACTTTGAACCAGGGCTCTTGTTTAGATCTGAAATGTTGATGTGGTTTGGGGCTCCTGAGGAGGAAGCACAGGAGGATTAAAGGGGCAGGGATCTGTCCTGACCCTTCCCCCAAAAATCCTCCGGGTCACCCCGTGCAGGATTGCAGACTCAGGCCTCACCTTTATTTATTTGTTCCTTCATCTGTGGGATCAAAGCCAAATATTTCAGAATCGTTTCACCCCCACCCCCCAACATCACAACGAGGCAGGAAATAATGGGAGGTGCAAAACCAAGTTTAATTCCTTATTTTATTTAGATCGGTTTAAGAAAAAAAAATTGCTTCCCACAAGTTGGAAAATTTCTAAATTTCTAAATAAAATTTCTAAATAAACGTTTTGCCCATATAAAAATACAAACAACAATAAAATCAAGACGTCCATTGGCCCACATAATAATCTTGCCCTACAACAGAATCAGCTGTTGATTAAAAAAAATTAAAAAAAAAAAAAAGAAAAAAAAAAAAGAGGAACACAAAATGCCCACATTACCTTTCCAGGGGAAAAAAATAGAGGGAAAATAAAGAGAAACTTTGTGATCTGCTGAGCTCGGGGCTGTGCCAGGAGGGGATGGAGAGGCAAAGAGGAGGAGGAGGAGGAGAAGGAGAAGAAAAAAGAATAAGAGGAAGAAGAGGAAGAAGAAGAAGAAGAGGAATTCTCCTCCCTTCAGGCGTTTTGTGCTTCACAGAATGCCAGGCGATGAGGAAATTGTGGGTTCACGAGTGTCCCGTGGGCTCTGCTCACCCAGGTTTGTGTCTGCAGGGCCGGGGCACAGGGATCTCTGCTGGGGATTTTCCTTTTCCTTTATGGCCAGGGCAGAGGGATCTCTGCTGGGAATATTTCCTTTTCTTTAGGGCCAGGGCACAGGGATCTCTGCTGGGGATTTTTCCCTTTCCTGACATGCCAGGGCACAGGGATCTCTGCTGGGGTTTTCCTTGTGCTGGGTTGTGGGTAGGGCAGCAGGGGAGGCTCAGCTGGGCGCTCGCACGACCCTTTCCCATTTCCCCTGGGCGTGCAGGGCTCACCCCGAGGCACAGCCGTGAACATTTTCCTGAGTAAATCAGCCCAGCCCCGTGGCTCCCGAGCGGGGAAGGGCAGCCCAGCCCAGCTGGGCCCCCTCTAGCAGAGCAGGCTGCCTGTGAGCAGCAGCAGCAGGGCAGCCAGGAGCCGGGAGCTGCCCTGAGCCCTGCTCCCCGAGCTGGGAGAGGTGCTGGGGGCTGAGCTGGTGCTGTTGGGGGGCACCGTGGTGGTTTCTGCCCCTGAAATGGAAAAAAAAATTGAAAAAAAAAAATCAATTACAAACGCAAAGGACCAGCTGAGAGGTTCTGCAGTGTGAAAAATGCGTATTTTATGAGTGGCTTTTCACAAATATTCAAATTTTTGTTATGTTAGAAAGTGATGCTGTATTAATCTTCTTAAGCAGTGTGTTAAATATAGTTTTAGGTTAGAACATAATGTTCAAATAGAAACTATGCTATGTAAGATACTTTTAAAGAAAGGACTGCACCAGACAGCAGCCGCAGGACACCTGAATCTCACAGAGAAAGAGAATTTATGGCTCCATTATCAGCAGAAATGAACTTCTTCCTGCCTCCTCAGCCCTGAAGACACCATCAGGATTCGGAGGAACAAATTTGTGTTATGTTAGAAAGTGATGCTGTATTAATCTTCTTAAGCAGTGTGTTAAATATAGTTTTAGGTTAGAACATAATGTTCAAATAGAAACTATGCTATGTAAGATACTTCTAAAGAAAGGACTGCAGCAGACAGCAGCCGCAGGACACCTGAATCTTACAGAGAAAGAGAATTTATGGCTCCATTATCAGCAGAAATGAACTTCTTCCTGCCTCCTCAGCCCTGAAGACACCATCAGGATTCGGAGGAAGAAGCTGACACTGACACAGCCAGAATCCTGTGTTTAAATGGAATTTATGCATCGTGTGAATATGCAACAGCCTGTTGCTCTTAAGGGTTAATCCTCTGTTAATATGTGTCCTTTTTCAGGCTTATTTTGCCCAGAAAAAGTACCCAGACTGTCCCTAACTCTTTGATTTTTTGTCTCATATTGTCCTAATCTCAACTGTTTGAATTTTATTACTCTAATTATATTACTATTTTCCATAACCATTTTATTACAATTAAACTTTAAATTTTTTTTTAAAAAACAAGTGATTGGCATTTTTCACATGCAGGAGCTCTGATTTCACAGGAATGAGGGGTCACCCCCTCTCTGGAGGAGGGGGATCACAGCAGCAGCATCACCCTCTGGAGCACCAGAAATGCTCCCTGCCAGCAAAGCCACAGCTCCCAGCCCTTAAAGCAAAAAGGAAGCTTGGGGAGGTTTTAAGTTGGAATTTTAACCTGGAAAGCCTCAGTCTTCGCCTGACTGCTGGAGGTGGGGGATGTCCTCAGCTCCACCCTGCATCCCTCCCCACGGCCAGAGCAGAGGGCAGCCCCTGCCCAGCGTGTCCCGCCCTTCCCCGCACGCTGGAAATGAAGATTATTTACCTCTGGTCAGCACCCGGCTCCTGAGCTCGGTGGTGTTGTCAGGGAGGCTGAGGAAGACCCTGTGGGATGAAGGAAGAGAGGAAAACAGGTTCAGGGGAGAGAAGCTGAGTGTCCCAGTGGGATGGAAAGGGGACATTGCAGGCAGATGGAGAGAGAGGAATTTCAGACCTGAGCTCACCCATGCTGCCCTCAGCCACACTGAGCATTTTTGGGGGGTATTTTTAACATCTGAAATTGTTTCTCCATCACATTTTGGCCGTTCTGGGCTGGGGATGCCTGGTACCAGGGTGGCAATTAACTGGGAACCATCTGCTGCCTGTAATTAGCAGCACTCCTGGCAGGAGCTGGCTGTCCTTCCTCCTGCAGATGAGGCTGAAGGCTCTGCTTCCCCTGGCCAAACACCTCCCACGGGGCTGAGGGAAGGGCTCGGGGCCATTCCCATGGGGATAATCCGCATTTCTGCTCTGGGAGCATCTCCAGGCTCCCACGGCACCCCGGGGGGGCTTTTGGCAGCAAAAGATTTCCTTGGAAAATGAGAAGGAGAAGGAAAAGGAAAAAAAGGAAAATGAAAAAACAAAAAGGAGAAGGAGAAGGAGAAGGAGAAGGAGAAGGAGAAGGAGAAGGAGAAGGAGAAGAAAGAAAAGGAGAAGGAGAAGAAAGAAAAGGAGAAGGAAAAAGTAAAGAAGAGGGAAAATCCAGGAGCTCAGCCCCTGCTCTGGAGGAGGAGCTGGCTCTGGGTTTGTCCCACCTGGAGGCTCGGAGGGAGCAAATCCTCACCTGAAGTGCACGGAGGAGAGGTCGCTGCCGGGGGATGTCCAGCGGGCCGTGCTCTCTCTCTCGGAGATGTTGAGCACTGCTGTGAGCACAGAGCTGCAGCTCGCCGTGGCTGCATCCTCCCACCGCCCCACCGAGGCGTTCTGGGGGGACAGCGCCTGCAGCAGCAGCTGCCCCGAGCTGTTGCTGTGGTTCCTGTCGTCCTTTATCGTCACTGGGGGCAGAGCAAGTTGGACACAATGACATTGCTGCCAAAATGGGATTGCTGCCAAAATTACATTTCTGCCAAAATGAGATTTCTACCAAAATGAGATTGCTGCCAAAATGGGATTGCTACCAAAATTACATTTCTGCCAAAATGAGATTTCTACCAAAATGAGATTGCTGCCAAAATGGGATTGCTACCAAAATTACATTTCTGCCAAAATGAGATTGCTGCCAAAATGAGATTTCTACCAAAATTTCATTTTTACTAAAATTACATTTCTGCCAATATTAAATTTCTGCCAAAATGGGATTTCTACCAAAATGACATTTCTACCAAAATTACATTCCTGCCAATATTAAATTTCTACCAAAATTACATTCCTGTCAATATTAAATTTCTACCAAAATTACATTTCTGCCAAAATGAGATTGCTGCCAATATTAAATTTCTGCTAATATTACATTTCTGCCAATATTAAATTTCTGCCAAAATGCCATTTCTGCCCTGCCAGGACCCCGAGCCCTCAGTGCCCCCCTGTGTGGCACCCATGGTGACATCAGCCAGCCCAGGAGGTATTTCACCCCAAATCCCCTTTTTCTGCCCCTGATCTGCCCAGGCTCGGGGCTCAGCCCCTCCTGCACCCTGAGCAGCCGTGCAGAGGGGAAGGGCTGCAGGAGGAACCTCTGGCTGGATGTGCCTCACCCTGCCTGCCCCGGGGCTCTCGGGGCTTTTCTCCCCAGCAGGAGCTGGACCCTGCTCAGGCTGGGCACGGGAGATGCTGCCCAGCACCAGAGGCTGCCCAGGTCCCTGTGCTTGTCCTGCCACGTCCCTCTCAGCCTCCAGCACCCCTGGGGCCAGCCCTGCTTCAAACCAAAGCTGCCAGACCCTCCAGGAGCTGAGCTGAGGCAGGAACTGCCATCAAACCTCAACTCCCTGCTCAAAAATTGAAATAGCAGTGAGCAAATGAAAGGAGCCCAACTGACTGCTGTGGGCGATGTGAGGGAATCCTGTGGCTCACACCTCCTCCCTGCAGGAAGGTGTCAGGATAAGGGGTCGGGATATATCTCCTCCACTGTTTTCTGGGTTTTGCTGGGCCTCAGGGCACAGGGAGCTTTGTTGGCAGGGCCAGGCTGTGTTTTCCCATCCTTCTGCAGCGTGAAATCCATTTCCTACCGTGATGCTGAACGTTTGTCAGCACCAAAGTTATCTCTTCCCCTTTGTCTGTGCAGAAAGGCAGAGTCCGAGAAGAGGGGAGGGAGCCAAACCACAAAACAACTTCCCCAAGTTCTGTCTTTTCAAGAGCATTCAGCTCCTTCTGTGCAAGTTCAGGCAAAAAAATAAAGGGAGAAAAAAAATCATCCTGAGGAGAGAAAGAGGATTTGGGATTGAGCTGCGGAGGGGAAGGTGAAATAGGAATAAAGAGGTAACAACAGCACTGCTCACCCATCTCCTGCCTGAAACGAAAAAGAATTAAAGCAGAAGCAGAAAGCTCCAGCTGAAGCAGACGTGAGAGCAGCTGAGGCAGGCACAGAGATTTCTGTGCAGGGCCAGTCTGTGAGCTCCAGCCAGGGCTGGCTTACCCAGGTAGGTTGTGTTGGCCTGGTAAGTCTCAGGTGTTGTTTCCACAGAGAAATTCCCTTCGGTGGTGTTCCAGAGCCAAAGGCACCCTTCCATCTCCGTGTCTGCCTGGCCGGCCGCTGTCCCCAGCAGGAGGAGAGGTGCCAAGAGGAGGAAAGCTGCCATGACCCCCTCGGTGCCTCCTCCTCGCCCACCTGCCCTGGGAACTGAGGAAGCCTCAGGCCTCCCCAGCCCCTTTTATAGCCGGGCTCTGATGAGGTAAATGCAAATATTTCCTCCTCCCCGTCCAGCTCACAGGTCCACACCCCCCCGGAGGTTTCACTGATAGAGACACTTCCTCCTACCTGCCCAGCCTTGGAGAGAAGGGGTGAAAAACAAGGGGTGACCCCCCTTGAAGGGGTTCAGATGGGCAGGGGGGACATCCCTGAGGAATGCTGGGCTGGACACCAAGGTCTGTGTCCCCAAGAATGGTGACCAGCCCTGTGACCTCTTGCAGAAACCCTGGAAATGTGGAGGAGCCTCCAGTCTTGCTCCCAGCTCTGGTCCAGCCTTTTCCTGGAGTTCCAAAAAATGTGAAAAACCCAGAACAGCCTTGTACAAATGCTCAAATTCAGCTTCTGATCCTGCTGGGAAGGAGCTGGGTCATGAAGGGCCAGGATGGGGAGGGTTGGTCTCTCCTGATCCCCTCTCACAGCCCCTCCCTGGTGAACTCGGTGTTTTCCTGCTGGGGACACATCCCTGAGGAGATTCCCCCAATAATTCTGAACACCTCAAACAACACCACACAAGGAAAACAGCTCGAGCTTCTCTCTCCTCTCCTTCCTGGATTTTCCCCCATTTCCCCCTCAGGTCTTCGGCTGATCTTGAAGCTGATTTTGAATATTTCAAGGTTGATTTTGGTTCTGGTTTTGAGGCTGATCTTGAAGCTTTCAAAGCAGGTTTTGAGGCTGATTCTGAAAGTTTTGAAGCTGATTTTGAGGCTGATTTTGAAATATTTCAAGGCTGATTTTGAAGCTGATTTCAAGGCTGATTTTGAGGCTGATTTTGAAGCTGATTTTTAATTATTTCAAGGCTGATTTCAAGGTTGATGATGCTGATTTTGAGGTTGACTTTGAAGCTGATCTTGAGGCTGATTTTGTAATATTTCAAGGCTGATTTTGAAGCTGATTTTGAAGCTTTCAGCAGCGCTGATGAGGCTGTTTTTGAGGCTGATTTCAAGGTTGATTTGGCAGCTGTTGGGGCAGCGCTGAGGGATCAGTGCTGGGGACAAGGACAGCACTTTCCTGTCCCTGAAATGTGGGATTCCTCCCGCTCACCTTCCACCTCCTTGGGACAGGAGAAGGAACTGGGACCAGAGCGAAACCCGGCGTGTCAGACACCCAGTAATTAGAGGTGATGACCCTGAATCAGCAGGGATGGCTCCAGATCCGCTCCCAGGATGGTTCCACTGAGGGTGGCTGCTTCCAGCAGCCAAAATGAGCAACACAGGCACTCCAAATGAGCTGGATCCCTCCAAAAAAAAAAGGGAATGGCCTCTTTTTCTGCCTTGCAGAACCTCAGGGTCATGGAGGGTGGAAGAGACTCTAAAGCACACCCCACACTTCTTCCAATGCCTGACCACTCTTTTTTTCTGATTTTTTTTCCTCTGCTCCTCCCCTGCAGAAGGGGATAAACCTCCCTGGTGTTTCTGATGCCCTCATGCTGTGGTTGTGCCAAGCTCACTCCGTCATCCTCCTCCTCCTCCTCCTGCCTGGCCCTGCTGAGTCACTCGTGCTGCCTGAGTGGGAGTTTGGGTTTCCTTCCCTGGGCTCATCTTCCTGTGCCCCAGCCCCAGAGCTCCTCACCCAGCGGGCTGCAGCTCTGGAGAGCTGCTGTGGAAAATACTTCCAATGAAAGTGGAACAGAAGTGGGAGAAGGAGGAGGAATTAGGGGAGTTCAGGGCAAAGAGGGGAGCAGCAGGAAAGGTGTTGGAAGAATTTCCAGTGGTGCTGCATTGGCTGGAGGTGAATTGGCCCCAATGCAGAGTGTGGGGAAAAAAAAATAAAATTGAGATTTTCTGGTCTGCAGAGCCTCATTTTTGTGGGGTTTTTGTCTTTTCTGCCCTTCTGGGAGCTTCCCTGGGCAGTGCCTGGGGCGGCAAAGGCTCCTGGGGAATGGGAGCTGCTCTTCCCAGCTGCTGGGAAACCTTTCCTGGGAGCCCCTGAGGAGCAGGGGAAGGGTGCCAGCAGCCTGGGAGCACAGGCAATGGAAGCAGAGGGTTTTGCAAGCCCGGCTGCCAGGGGTGCTGTTTGCCCCGGGCAGTTTCGTGTTGAATCCTCCTTGCAAAAGCTCGGTGCCATCTCTGGGTGGTGGGGGTGACTCAGTGGGGTGTCACTGTGCTCTCCCAGAGAATTCCATCTGGGACACAGCAGGCAGGATGGGAGTGCTACAAAAACCTCCCCAGGGCTGAGGAGAGCCTTGTGAGGGGCGCTGGAAGTGACAATTTTTGGTGCATGATCCCCCTCTGGGGCTTTTCAGTTTTGCTGGTTCTTGAAGAGGTTGATCTTCTGTGGGAGCCGAGCCCTGCCTTGAGGAGAGGCTACAACCAGAGAGCTCCGGGAAGCAATAAAATTAATGTTTTTATCCCTAAAGGTGGCTGCACAATCATCCATTCAGCCGGGGATAAAGCCATGAAACAAAGCCAATCCAATGGGTGTGAAGCCCAGGGGAGGAAGGGCAGCAAACAGAAATTTCTGTGGGAGATTTGTGTGTTACAGAGGGACCTGAGCTTCTAGAGTGCCCAAAACATTTGGAGAGGGCTGAAACTGCTGAGAGCAGCATGCAGGGAGCCCGTGGGGCTGGGGCTGGGGCAGGAGCAGCCCTGGGGTGGCACTGCAGGATGTGGCCCCAGCCAGGTGACAGCTCCAGCCAGGTGACAGCCCCAGCCAGGTGACAGCTCCAGCCAGGTGACAGCCCCAGCTTGCCTTTGGGAGCCAGAGCAAACAGAGGCTCTGGGAAAGGGCAGCAGCCCCAGCTCTGGTGCTCAGAGCTTGGAAATGTTCCCCTGGTGCCACCCACAAGGTCAGCATTGCTCCAGAGGGGATGGTTGGGGTGCTGCTCCCTCCTGACAGGAGCTCTCAGCTGGGCCCCCCCCGTGCCTGCTCCTGGTGGAGCTGGACAGCCCCAGCCAGGTGACAGCCCCAGCTTGCCTTTGGGAGCCAGAGCAAACAGAGGCTCTGGGAAAGGGCAGCAGCCCCAGCTCTGGTGCTCAGAGCTTGGAAATGTTCCCCTGGTGCCACCCACAAGGTCAGCATTGCTCCAGAGGGGATGGTTGGGGTGCTGCTCCCTCCTGGCAGGAGCTCTCAGCTGGGCCCCCCCGTGCCTGCTCCTGGTGGAGCTGGGAGGGGAATGAGGTCAGTGAATATCCCTGGGCAAGGAGCAGCACTTGGAGCTCGGGGCTGTGCTTCAGGAGTGCAGCTGGAGCCCTCCAGCACGGCAGGAATTATCCAGGGAGGAGCAGGTCCAGGAAAGCCAAACCTCCTCCCACCTGTGCCTCACCTGGAGGGGATGGCCAGGGAGGGGGCTTTGGGGCAAAATGCAGCAGTGACAGGGGATAAAACAGAATAAACACTGCATGAGCACCTGCCCGGGAGCAGGGAAATGTCAACCACAGGGAAAGCGCCTCAGGCTGTGCCTGGGTCAGGCACAGGTGAGAGCAGGGCAGGCTGCTGGGGAAGGCAGGGCCAGGGAGATCCCCTGTTCCATTTCCTGGTGCTGGAACCGTCTGGCTGGGCTGGGCTGCAGCCACCCTGCACATCAGGGCATCCTCTCCTCTCCTCTCCTCTCCTCTCCTCTCCTCTCCTCTCCCTCCCTGGCACTCTGGACTCTGCCCAGCCCCATCCAGGTGAGCTGTGTTTGCTCTCACTCCTCACCAGCCTTTATGGGGTTATTTGCTCTGGGTGAAGAACAGTTGAGGTTTACTGGGCTGTTTTGCAAATATTGTGTTTTGTAAATGCAGGGATGAAGGGGTTTTTTACAGCCTGAACTGCTGAGCTGGCTTGAACAGCCTCCTTGTCCTGCTGGAGGTGTGGGACTTGGCAGCTACAGAAATCCACCCCATGCCTCCAGCCAGGAGGGAACCCAGAGAGGGCAGCAGGGCAGGCAGGGCCCTGTGCCTCGCTGGGCTTGTAAATGAGCCTTGGAATGGATTTTTGCATTTCCCACAGGCAGCAGGAGAATCTTCAGCTCTGAGGCTGATCCCAGCCCGGCAGGGCTCTGTCCAGTATAAATAACAATAATAATAGAATAACAAAAGCTGGATTGTTCTCTGCAGGGATGAGCTCCTGAAAGCCCCCTCGTAACCCACAGAGAGGGGGAAGGAAGGACAAACATTCTGTCAAAAGGCTCTTCCCCAAAGTGAGCAGCTCTCCTGCTTCTCTGGACTCCTGAGGAGCTCCCTGCCCACAGGAGCAGGAGAAGCAGCAGCCAGGAGCTTCTTCTGGGCAGCGCTGGGCTCACCTGCCCCTGCAGACAACCCTCCCTGCAGGAGCAGAGCTCTGCTCTCCTGGGTCTGCAGAGCCCTCCTGGGACACCCCCAGGCTGGTGCCTTTGCTGCAGAGCCCTGCCCCAGCCTGGGCTGGATCCCTGGTGTCCCAACCCGGGCTGGCCGGGCTGGTGCCTTTGCTGCAGAGCCCTGCCCCAGCCTGGGCTGGATCCCTGGTGCCCCCAGCTCCATCCCTACTGTCCCCAGCTCCATCCCTGGTGTCCCACCTCCATCTCTGGTGCTCCCAGCTCCATCTCTGGTGCCCCCAGCTCCATCTCTGGTGTCCCCACCTCCATCTCTGGTGCTCCCAGCTCCATCTCTGGTGTCCCCAGCCCTGGGATGGATCCCTGGTGTCCCCAGCTCCATCCCTGGCATCCCTAGTTCCATCCCTGCTGTCCCCAGTTCCATCCCTGCTGTCCCCAGTTTCATCCCTGGTGTCCCAGCTCCATCCCTGGTGTTCCTAACTCCATCCCTCATGTTCCCAGCTCCATCCCTGGTGTCCCACCTCCATCCCTGGTGTCCCCAACTCCATTCCTGGTGTCCCCAGCTCCATCCCTGGTGTCCCCAGTTCCATCCCTGGTGTCCCCACTTCCATCCCTGATGTCCCCACTTCCATCCCTGGTGTCCCCAGTTCCATCCCTGGTGTCCCAGCTCCATCCCTCAT